ATTCAGTTACTTAGGTCACTTCTGTCACTAGAGAACTTTTACTTTTACTTAAACTTAAACTTTAAAGTCTAGTAGTCAGAACTTCTGTCACAAGAGTAGTTATTTTTACGTAGACTTTAAAGTGCAGTAGTCAATACTGCTAGAGTAATTATTTTACTACGGTCACTTCTTTCTCTAGAGTAGTTACTTTTACTTACACTTTAAAGTCTGGTAGTCAGTACTTCTGTTACTAGAGTAGTAACTTTTTCTTAAACTTTAAAGTCGAGTATTCAGTACTTCTGTCACCAGAGTAGTTGTTTTTGCTTAGGCTTTAAAACCCAGTGGCCAGTACTTCTGTCACTAGAGTAGTTATTTTTACTTAGACTTTAAAGTGTAGTTGGCAATACTTCAGTCACTAGAGTTATTATTCAGTTACTTAGGTCACTTCTGTCACTAGAGTAGTAACTTTTACTTAAACTTAAACTTTAAAGTCTAGTAGTCAGAACTTCTGTCACTAGAATAGTTACTTTTACTTAAACTTTAAAGTCGAGTTGTCAGTACTTCTGTCACAAGAGTAGTTATTTTTACGTAGACTTTAAAGTGCAGTAGTCAATACTGCTAGAATAATTATTTTACTACGGTCACTTCTGTCTCTAGAGTAGTTACTTTTACTTACACTTTAAAGTCTAGTAGTCAGTACTTCTGTCACTAGAGTAGTAACTTTTACTTAAACTTTAAAGTCGAGTATTCAGTACTTCCGTCACTAGAGTAGTTATTAAATGCAGACTTTAAAGCCCGATAGTCAGTACTTCTGTCACTAGAGTAGTTATTCTTACGTAGACTTTAAATTCAAGTAGTCAGTACTTCTGTCACTAGAGCAGCTATGTTTACTTAGACTTTAAAGTCCAATAGTCAAAAGCCAGTAGTGAGTACATCTGTGCTTACATGAAGTATCATTTATGCAAACATAGTCTGTTAATATGCTATTCTTAAAATGTTTTAATCACCCGAAACACTAAAGTTTTTTTCTATCTCAGTCTTTAAAGTCTAAGTAAAAATAACTACTCTAGTGAAGAAGTACTGACTACTGAATGTTTAAGTCTAAGTAAAAATAACTACTCTGGTGACAGAAGTACTGACTTCTGGACTTCAACTCGCTGCATTTTCATGCACCTGTCCTAAGTCAGGAGCCTGTTGTTCAGTGGTTGTCGTTTGTTGGTGTGGTTCATAGGTGTTTCTCGTTTTTTATATAAATTAGACCTTGCTGTTCGGTGTGAGCCAAGGCTCCGTGTTGAAGGCCGTACTTTGACCTATAATTGTTAACTTTTTATACATTGTGACTTAGATGGAGAGTTGTCTCATTGGCACTCATACTACATCTTATTTATATCCAACGTCTAAGAAAAAATCACTACTCTAGTGACAGAAATACTGACTACTGGACTTTAAAGTCTAAGTGAAAACAAATACACTAGTGAAAGAAGTACTGACTACTGGGTTTTTAAGTCTAAGTTAAGTGGCTTAATTATTTTTTATATTTTTGGTTTTCAATGCTCTTTGGTTTCTTAATTGATTTTTTTTTAATTTTTCAAACTTTCATTCGAGTGCCACCGTCAGATAGGTCTTACTTATCTAGACGAACCCGTGTCTACTATACTTAATTATAAGCCTGATCTTTTGATGAGTTTTTACTCCTGATTAAATAAATCTTATGCATTTGGAAAGCAGCTTCATGGAGCATTTGGTAGACCCAGCAATCAAGCGATAAAAGAATGTTTTTTGAGGCGGTTTATTGTATTTTTTTTGTTTGTTAGAGTAGAGTGAAAGGTCATTTCATATTTTGTTGAAATTCCAAACATAAAACAGACCTATATTATTTCTGATTTCCTCATTCACACAGATACGTTTTTGTTTGGGTTTTTTTTCTGCGGATACAGCAACAATTTGTCATAAATGTTAGGCATGTGTCTAGCAATTCACAGTTCGAGTTTTCGAAGAACAATGTTGCATGAATGTTCATAGCCCACATAAATTAAAGTTTGCGAAAAAAAAATAACAAAACATTTCGAAGTTGTAAGAAAATTAACAGTTAAAATTATAAACAGACGGAACTTAGAAAAATATATCTGGTCTATATTCGCCCTATCTTTGAATACAGTTGTGAGGTGTGGGACAACTTATTGGAGCAACTTCAACTATAGAAGCTGGGTCGGAATTGTAACAGGATTGCCTATCTTGAATATCTTTATCTAGAGACTAACTGAGAATCTCTACATGTAGAAGATACAGAAAAAAATCCAATAATTTTATAAGATAGATAATATATAATCGCAACTTTTGTAGATTCTCATCAATAAATTTGTCATTTGTTCTTTCGTCTTTTATAGGGAATGGATTTTTTCGTAACCTTGGATAGTTACCCTGTCACAGTTTTAACTATGATCTCTATTGAATAATGCATACGGGAAATATGAATGAACCCGAGCATTCCATGTATGTTAGAGCTGAATGTTATTCTAGCACAGCGATCTTTTTTTAAATTCATATTTCGCAGTTTTTTGCAGAGACATATAATATGTATTATCACATACCTGTCAACTGACCCGGATCCTGCGGGTGTGACCCGAGATTTTCACAATTCTGAGGGGTCACCCGGGACACCCGCCGGGTTGCCAAATAACCCGGAAATTCGGAAAATAACCCGTTTTCACCCGTATTCGTAAGCCTTCAGTCTGATTTCATATAAAGTGATTTTCCGTTGAAATTAATACCGGCAAATTCGTAATTCTTCCTGGACAAGAAGTTCAACTAGCTGTGTAAACTCAAATCAAGTGACCCATTTCAGTGCATGGCTTCACTTGACAGCTTTGGTGTCAAACACACTGTTAATTATCACCAATTACCTTAGCTTTAGGTCGTAAATAATTTGTGTATCTAAAACAATTTGAGTTACTTCCCCTTTTTTGTCAATTCACAATATACTCCTTAAACTTATGTTTTTTTTTTGTAAAAAAATTAAATCTAAAATGAATTGAATGCAAAAACATATCAGAATAATACGTTAACTATCTTTCTACCTAAGAACAATTAAAAAATAAAAATTTTGAAAATTAGTTTTTTCATCTATACCTCCTTTATTTGTTTAACTTTATTTTATTATACTCTAATATCAACATATGATGTGGACTCATCAAGTCACGTTTTAGTCATTACAACTGAACGGACGTGCTGGGTCAGCTTTCCTTTACCCGCTATCTTCGATGAGGGTTTACTGTTGGATGGATAAACGACTTACTACTTTCGATGACAGAAACCAATCCAACGCTGTACAGACTACGTAAGGCTATAATCCGCGTAGGGTTAATTCCCGCGTCAACATACACTCCAAAACCCATTATGGATGGGGGAGTGGTATGCCGAGTGACGTCCGAGGGCTGTATCGTAGGTGTTAGATAATGGACCACCATTTCACTGTCTCACGACTTTGGTCCTGATAATGCTTCCTGTCATCGTTAATACTACGTCCGAGACTCATCTACCAGTACTCCATCATCGAGGTTAGCGGGCTGCCTAGCTGACCAATCTGGCCCTGAAAGCAGTCGTTGTGAAGACATAACATCAAAACAGTCAACAAAAGAAAAACCAAAACAACTCACAAAACCAAGATGGCGGCCTACCAAAATGGCGTCCTCAACCTGTTCCTGACCGATGGCAAAAATTATTTAAACGCTCATCAAACGCCTTCGGGCACCGAGCCGACCGTGCGAGGGATGTATATCCAGTCAAGGTCGTTAAAAACTGCCATTTGTTTGATGTGGACTATGTATAAAAGCTGCACAAATGTATGAAAAGAAAACACATATTGGCATATTGGATGTCATGGAATGAATATGAAAAGGAATTAAGGCAATGTAACACAAATCTATCAATGGCCTTCAAGTGCAATGAAATAATAATATGTACAAATTTAAATTACTTAACCATGTGGACATGTTTTGGAAACTTTGATATAAATTATAAGAAAAATGTCCCCTAGATACTGAAATTCAGCTCGAAAAAGTTCGTACGGATTATGACCTGAGATTTCATTCTTCTAAGCAGGAGATGACCTGCATTTTCATTGTCATAGGTTGACTCTGATAATATCAGAAGTCCATTACTAGAGCTCTAGTAATGGACTTCTGGTATTATACACTTTAATTTATTATTACAGTGGCGGATCCAGAAATTTTCATAAGTGGGGGCACACTGACTGCTTAAGAGGGGCCCGCTCCAGTCATGCTTCAGTGATTACCTATATAATCAACCAAATTTTTCCCACAAAAGGGGGGGGGGGGGGCGGGCCCCTGTCCCCCCTTAAATCCGCCTCTGTTATATGTTTCTGGTTTTGGCAACTATTATTTAATAGATGTTTTAAAAACTCCGTCTAAATAGCCAAGTGAACGGAATGTGCTAGGATTCAGAATTACTAGCTTGACACATTGTCTTACGTTCAATTAAGGCGCCTGTAAAGCTATTCATATGTATTTTCCCGACACATTGTCAAACGTTCAATTAATGCGCCTGTAAAGCTATTCATATGTATTTTCCCGCCATGAATGGCATGTAGAAAGGAGATCATTCCAGCACTGTCTGATCAGTGTACAATTCGTAATATACGTGGTTAACATAAAGTTAGAATAGACATATGTGAAAATCGATAATTTGTTTAAACATATAAGGATTTTGAATTGGTGGTGGGACACCTTTTGATTGATATTTAAAAAAAAGTTTTTCAAAGAAAAATTTATCTTTCCCGCCAAATTTACTTATGCTATCGGAATACATCTGCAGTTATCATTATCTGATGTAAAATTATTTTCAAAGTGTTAAATTATAATTTCGACAATTTTAAGCGTCTATATTGATATATATTTCAATCTAAATAAAAGTGTATTCGAATTTAGCTTAAAAATATGATAAAAGTATTATTTTGAGCTCTAGTTAAGGTTAGAGACTACGCTTCATGTTGCCATGTGACCGTTCCCGCTGACAACTTGACTTCCAGTTCCCGTACAAATTTATTGACGTTTAAGAAAATGTAAATAAAGAGCATGTAGTATTTAAATATGAACTATAACTAACTTAACAAGGGAATTTAGTGAAAAAGAACCATGGCTGAAAAGAAATTTGGCGGTGCACCATTTGGAACACAGACTGCAAGGTTAATAAAGTTTACAAACTTTTTTTTATCCATTTCATATGATTTAATTTTCCACCCTTCACTAACTCAGTAACTGGAGGATGACGTTTGTGCCATTATCATGCTATGCTTTGTACTATACCAAACTTCTTTATTCTGCAGCTACAATTAGAATGATTTTTTCATAGGGTGGTTTTAATCAGTTGTCTTTCTTTGGTATACTACTGTCCCGTGTGAACCTGGTGTAAACTGATGTAAAACAAGATAGATGCGTTTCCAATTTTTGTTTCATGAAATAAATGTCCAGTTTGAACTAAGGTCATGTTGGGAAAGCACGTCCTAGGACATTGTGACAAAAAATTGAAATAGCCCTTAAGACGATATAATATTATTTGGACAAGGTAGTCGGAACCCGAATACCTGTAAGCATTTAAAATACAGCTTGGTATTTCATTTTCTCTAACATTTCTTCTTCTTCCCAGTTACTAATCTGACTCTGCAATTTAGTGTGATTGACTCCGGCACATCTCAAACAATTTTTAATAGACAGGAGGCCACTTCTTAGGTCAAAAGTAAAAGTCCAGGATTTTTTTTGAAAGAACTATCAAAATTGAATTTCATATTTATATGGCCATGTACAAATGTAACTAAAATGATACATGTACAATGTATATATCAAGCCAGGACTTTCATTTGCTTAAAAGAATAAGAATTGAAAAACTTTTTAATTCTGTACTGAAACAATTAACACCATCTTAACAAATCATGATGAATTTAATTTATATATAATTAATTGTAGTTACATTCACAATATTTATTCATTAAGAATATACATTTTTTTTTTTATGAGAATAAAGGGAGTAATTTAGTAAATCATCATATTGCGTCAATTTAGGAATGTACAAAATGTAATCATGGTTACTCAACAATTTTTGAAATCATTTATATCTTTTCCAAATATTACTTATCTAGTTTAATTTCTGTTGTAAAATAATCAGGTTTTCTCATAATAAAATTTGGTTAACATACTGAAACTAATTATTTTACGTTGTTTTATTTCAGTCTTTTTCTATTGACTCAGATAAACGATAAGAATTAACTGATAGGCAGATTTAATATATATAACAGGTGTTTTAAATTGCATTGTTTGATACATTTGTGTCTATAATTTACCCATTGTCATCAGTTTAATGATTACCAAATTTCTATTATAAAACACATTTAAAAGATCTAGTTATGTCAAAGGTAATAATTTAATCATGTAAATTTAATTGATTTACACATCAAAGTTTATTGGGATTTATTGAAATAGTCTTCCTTAGTTAATTCTGTCACAATTATGCATATACTAAGTCCATAGTAAAAATTCATGTTTTGGCTTTTTTCTGTTTTTTTTTTTAATTCTACAGATTTAGATGTGGATTTAAATGCTCATTTACTTATTAGGTGTGCATCAGCGATACATGCATTTATATTCTACATTGGCTAGAGGTATAGGGGGAGGGTTGAGATCTCACAAAACCTGTTTAACCCTGCTGCTGCCTGTCCCAAGTCAGGAGCCTCCGGCCTTTGTTAGTCTTGTATGTTTTTTAATTTTAGTTCATTTATATGTTTTGGAGTTTAGTGTGTGACATCAATTTTCATTGAACTAGTACACATTTTTGTTTAGGGGCCAGCTGAAGCCCACCTCTGAGTGCAGGATTTTCTTGCTGTGTTGAAGGCCCATTGATGGCCTTCGGCTGTTTTCTGCTCTTTGGTCGGGTTGTTGTCTCTTTTACACATTCCCCATTTCCATTCTCAATTTTATTTACATCATTCCCTATTTTATGCCAAACTTTGTTGTGTTTGGGTTGTCTTGACACAATTTTTACACTTGTTACCCTCGTCCCTTACTTAGTTTTACATTTTGGTCACAGTAGACATTTTTACTGACAACATACGGTCATGACAGTTAGGATTCCATTGACATCCAACATTTAATTTCTTTATCAATTGTTTCAGATTTGACGTGTCTGGTGTTCATCCAAAAAGTAAATATCCAGGAACCTTCACAGAAATTCCATATGATAAAAAATCAACAGATGACCTTGTAAGTACGGTACTTTATTGTAAAAAAAAAGAGAGAGGCAACTTTATTTTCATACACCATGTACACCAAGTGATTCAGTTGAAAATGACATTTGCTGGAGATATATCACATTGAATGCTGGTAATCTGAAATTTTTCCCCTTTGTAATGCTCGTTTATTAAAAAAAATCCTTGAGTTTGAAAGACCATTGATAATAATTTATCGCTGTTTTCCTAGGCAACATCAATAATGTAGGCTCATGACGTCATATATACATTTTCTTTCTACTCTACTGAGAAAAACCTATATCACTATCGTAGTGCGATATGAAAAATTATCACATAAAAGATCAAGCAAAAATAGCGATAAATATATAAACCACAATGTTATGACCGTAAATTCTATTATTAGTAATTCACTCTTACACTGCACTTACCATAACTAATTTAAAAAATTCACTGATTATATTCCAGCATCAACCCTGGGTTTTTTTTCATGCCAAAATAATGAAAAAATAGAACACAATGAAGATATTTCTTGTTTTTGATTTAGAAACAAATAAAGAAAGGTTGGAAATCATATCTTAATAAGTATATAGGATCAGAAAAATACCATGTGTAATTAATTAAATGTATATTATTTCAGAATGTTTGTAAATTTGTTGTCTAAAGTTGTCTTTTCATAAATCACTCTTTTTAGAAAAGAAAGCTTGGGCCTGGAGCTTATGATGTCAGCCATGGTGGTTTTAGTAAAAAGTCTGTAGAATTACGAGCAGATGGACCTGGGTGGTCAAGACAATATGAAGTAGAAAAATTAGCTGCATTACCTCACCTACTTAATAAAGATCAATGGGAAATGAAGAGGATGTTGGTAAGTTATGGTATTTTGTACAAAAAATCTTTCCTGTGTTCATTTGAAATGTAGTGTTGAGCTCAGTTATTTAATGGTAAAATTTCGAAATACTGTAAACTCGGTAATTATTGGGAGGTTTTATTCAGTGAAAATAATGTGACTCCTTGATTATCGCCTAATTATAAGAACTCACATTCTGATATATCTGATACATATATTTGTACGTAGCTTTTCCTAAAATCGCAATAAGTAAACTCATATTTTTGTTCATTCTTCAAAAATCACAATAATAAATGTACACTATAATTTCTGAATTAACAGCACCTAAAATTAGGCTAAATAATTTTGCTGTGCACATTTTACCTCGAAAACTAAAATTACCAGTTACTAGAAACTATTGATTTAATTTTTGTACATGGCTTTCACATTAGTGCATTGTCTTATTGAACTTATGCAGGTATTAACGTTCAAGGCTCATATACAGTAATCAGATGTTTGTCTTGCTGTGATGGCATTGTTATTTTTTTCCTGTCTGAAAATGGATAAAATATTTTGAAATTAAGATTTGTATTCTGTTTTATTGTGTCGTATACATGTACTACTACTAGGGTGTGTTTAACGACCTTGATTACCCTTGAGGGTCTTGCACGGTCGGTTATGTAGTATTATTTGTATTTATAATGGCTTATCCATCTATTTAGCCATATTCATTATGAAACAATCAAATGGTTAGTTTTATCCTATATTTAATGGTATTCTGTCATCATTCAAGCTTGAATTTTTATATTCAAGTTTAGAGTGTAAACCAACACATCTTATTAAAAACCTGTACAATAGTACATTTATCTTGAAAAGTAGGCAAAGTGTTGTCTGTCTTAGAGAATAAATAAAAAAACACCAGTTTTGAATGGTCTATGGTTTATGATAATTTATTCCATCTGTGTTGTAAAGGCCTGAGTTTTTTAATTTGTTGATTGAGGGATTTTCGATATGAAAAACTCACTTTGGTATTTAAACAAAAAGGAGGGGGATGAACTTATAAGACATAAACATGTACAGCTTTGTGTAAACTTTACTTAAAGTAAAATATGCAAGGTTCACTTCCTTGAACAGTGTTGAAGGTGTCTTAAAGTAGGCCATCTGGCCATTTACTGTAAAGTATGATATTTCATATTGTAATTATTTTGATAACGGTTTAAGTTTAAATGTTTAAGACGATGCGATGCGATGTTGATTACTTGTTTCTTATGATTAAAGGTCCTTTTCCTTTTCTTTTGCTTTGATTTAAATTTATTGTCTGATGAGCATCTATAGCTTCACCATGGCCATATGATTTTTTTTCAAATTTACTCTATAATAATATACAATGGTTTAAATGTGTTAAATGATCATACATGTTTTTTGTGTATCAAATCAAATGACATGTTTTTTAAATGAAAAATAAATAATCTTTTAACATTGACAGTCTAGACTACCCAAATTGTATTTACTCCATATATTTACTTTCTCCTTAGGTAGTAATAACATTGATAAACTGAAGTGGATTTAAAAGTTTTATGATTTTATTGATTTATGGAAGATAGATATATATTTGTATATAACTTTTGGTGGACTCTGAAAAAATTAATATGGCCTTTATTTTTATAAGTAAACAAAGGAATGAATAGAAATAAATTGAAAGTATACAAAAAAAGGAAATATTTTAATTGTACCCAACCTGTTGAAGCTTTCTTGTTAAATATAAATGTACAACCTGATGAAGACTTTATTTTGTAAGCTTTTATTAAAACCTTGTACTGTAATTTTAAAGAATTTTAATCTCTGATAAGTAAATTTCATTATATCTTTAATAAGGCCAAAATAAATTAATAGTGTGTTTCCTATTTCACCTCCAAAAAAATTAGGTAGGGTAGGTAGGTAAAACATTTTATTTTTTTTTCTATTGAAGGGTCGACAGCAGAAAAAAGTTCCAAATCAAATAGTTTGATGTGCGGGCTTCTTTGATATTTAGAATAGTAATTATATCTACAGCTTTTTTAATTTTCTGTTTTTGTTCTGCTTCAGAAATATAAAAATAAACTTTAATGAAAATGTTATGCATTTCATTGGTCATAAAAGGAAAAGTGTATGTTCTTCCCAATTAATTATCTTAAATAAAAAATGGCAGTGAAAAATCTGGCGTGGTATGTCATTATGTTGGGCCTCGTTGAACCTAAAAATGTAAATGTCACACAGGGTTTACATGTGGAAGCAGATAAGTACCCCTTGAAAACACTGTGAACCGATGCTAAGCAGCAGTTAATTATGATTTTTTGAGGGTTAATACTCTGCCCTTGCACCCTCTTTATTTGATATACAGATGTGGTTGATGTTTGACAGAATGTGATGTTGATTGAAGATTGGGTGGTTCTGACAATATTAAAATTCCAGGTTTTGAGAAGAGTGAGAATGTGAAATCTTTGTCTTATTAATGAGGGTAGTAATGCCCTTTACCGTCAGGCGTCAAACAGTCATTTTCGGCTACTGTTAGCGTCAAATTGGTTAAAATTTTACCTTAATTCGTCAAAATATCCTTATCGTGATTCATCAGAGCAATGATGTGTATACTATACAAATCCTTGGTCAGAGGTCTCAAATAATTATCGTTACTGTTATTTTTGGAAAAAAATTTACGTGATTCGTCAAAATCAGTCGATTTTTTTACCGTCTAAAAGAAAGTGTACATTTTATCTATTTTTTATCGTTATTCTGTTTACGTATAAATGTTCTGCCTAACAGAAGTTCCACTGAAAACTTTGTTATAAACAATGTCATAATATCTGTTCCTGTTGGAACAAATATTCTATACCATTCATTCCGTTAGGAACATATACTGTACTATTTATTCCAGTGGAAATAATATTCCAGAACACTTTTTCCATTTGGAACTTCTATTATGAAGGAACTTCTATTTCGTGGCAATTCGTCATGAAGGTACCCCAATTACGACCCTCATTAATCTACTGGTCAAATAAATTGCAGATGTAATTATGACATGATTTTTTCCCCCTTTTCTTGTATAAATTGTTATGGGACCAGCCAGAGAAATAAAAAAGAATAAAAGTAGACATGGTGCTGGGGCAGATTCATTTATAAATGAATATGAATCATACACCATGTCTGCCTACTGGGGAAAGCTTCTCAAGTTTCATCTTTCTCGTTCCACATTGTCTGTCCCCTGGCCATCATAAACTAAAAAGCATTGTCTGTCCCCTGGCCATCATAAACTAAAAAGCATTAACAGCCGTTTATGTTGCGTCCTGAGCACAATTCTGTACAACATTCGTAAGAGCATGCTTTACAACAAAAGCTGGATTGATTTTAGCAGTAAATTTGAACTCATTTTACTATAAAATTGTTAGTCAATTTACCGACTGATACAGTCTGTCCAACCTGACTTTTGACTTTTGGTCCAAAGAAGTACAGGTACAAGACGAGATTTTTTTAATATATGTATATATACTGAATACTCTATTCGTTATATATACAAATATTTAAAAAATCTCGCTTGTACCTGTTCAAAGAAGTTGACTGTTGAGCAAAGTGCGTCAACTTCGTATTTTTTTCGTCTATAGGTCCATCATGATGTTCTTCAAAAAGATTTATCATATCGTTATTATCCGGAATCGATGTCATTATATTTTGCGTCAATGTGAACACATTTCGCATATTTGACAGCTAATACGCTTCCGAAAAGCCATGCTTGTTTATTTAAAATCTTGGTCCTTGAAACGCTTTACTTATCCATATTGGTCGTTATTATCAAACGCTTTGAAGATCAATAGTATTCTAAACAAATAATCGGATCCGGACAGATTGAAAAATCCGGATTTTGAATTTTTATTTTTATTTTTGTCAATAAAATGTTTAGGGTCGGCGTCGGAAACGGAGGTAGGGTCGGGAAACCGGAAACACACCATTTATTTATTTTGGCCTAACTTTTATTGATTTTAGAAAGATCTTAACCTTGAAAGTATCAAATTCATTTTTGCTTGGTATTTATAATGATTGTAAAATGTTATATACACTATACCACCCACTTACATGACTTAGTGAAGTGTTTCACATCAAGATTTTAGACAGTATGATAAATTTAAATAAGAGGCCTCAGTGGACTAGATTGTTAGTTGACTTATACCTGTATTGGTCAATGTTGCTTTTACGACTTAAATTTGGGTTCCAGACTTCCTACATTCATTTACAAAAAAATCAGAAAACACTTTTAAATTCAGAAATCATTGTGTTGGTTAATTTAAAATGTAAATTTTTAGCAGTGGACGAAAAAGTTAGATTGATAAATGTCATTGCTAGAGATGCAAAGACTGCGAGAGTACAAATAATTCTAAATTCTTATATTATGCCATTGCATTTTTGCAATGATGAAACATTGCAAAAACTTCCATGCTGCAATTGATTTGTCAGTAACTTGTATAACTTATTGGTGCACCCTTTGCCCTCTGGTTCCTTCACCAATATTATTATAAGGGGGCCTCAAGGGCTGAGTGGTCTGTTAGTTCATCTACAGTGATCACTAGCCTTCAACTGTTAAGGATGTGAATTCTAACCCAGCTCACGGCAAGCAGTGTTTGACTCGGATCTTTATTGACAAGGATCAACAGTTTTCTGCCAAAGTTAGTGGTTCTCTCCAGTTACATGGCTTCCTCCACCAATAAAGCCTTGGTGCCATGATGTACACAAGGTGGCAGACAGTGGCTTTGAATGCCAACAGCAAGTCAACAAACAAACAAATTTGTATAAACGTATGTCATGTATGTACCGGTAAATAAAATTTGTCTCAAACTCATAATTGAATAAAATAAATATAATTTAACAGCATATTCCTTAAAACATGACATTGAATGAAATTGTAACATTTACTGTTACAGAGGTGACATTGATCAAGAATATCAACTGAAGAGGTTGAGTAAATCAAGACTTATGATTGAGGTAGTAATGAGATTAGAAATATATGATAAAGG